GGGGGAAAATGGGGCCCCCCGGGGGCGGGGGGGGGCCCGGCCGCCCCCCGCCCCCGCCAGCCGCAGCTTGCAGGGGGAGCTGGGGCGGGCCCAGACCCCCCCGGGCCCCTCGCACCCCGCCCGGGGGGCCGAGGGCCGCAGCAGGGCTGTGCCGTTCGCCTCGGGGGGACACGGCGGGGGACGGGGCTTTTGCTCCCCCCAAGACCTGCCTTCGAAGAGAGCAGGCTGGCTTTGGTGCAAATAATCAGCCGCGCTGGGCTTTAAAGCCCTGCCTTGGTGTTTAATTGATAAAGAGCAATCACGGTCCTGCTTTCGAGGCACCCAGAACCCAGTTCGAGCAGAAGGCGCTGGCCGGAGGCCAGGGACTGGGGCTGCAGCTCCAAAGAGCTCCCGTGTGCCAGGAGAGCGGCGGCCACCGCCTCCAGTTTAGGAGGTGGGAACCCAGGCCAGGCCCGGGAATCCCAGGAACGCCGGGAACCCCCCGCCTGGGAAGGCTGGAACCTGGGAACCCCCCGCCTGGGAAGGCTGCGTGGCACAGCATCCCGGATGGTTCAGTAGATGAACTTGAACCCATGACCGCTGCTCCAAAGGGGCCGGGTTTAGCAAATCCAACCCCAGCAGCCTCGGCAGCAAGGGGCGCTGGCACTGCTGGAAGTTGGAAACATTAGAAGTTCAGGTTAAAAAAAAAAAAAAAAGCTCACTCACCACAGCTGGGTACAGGACAAAGCCAGCCCTGCTCCTGCCCTGATCGCTTGTACTTGAGTTGTTACTTCCAGAAAAATCCCTGAAGAAACGCCCGTCTTTCAGATTTTATAACCTGCAGCCCCATCTCCCAGTGGCTTTCACCACCAGGCTGCCAGCCCGGGCGGGGACACGGGCTCCTTCTGAAGTCTTCACCAAAAGGCGGCATTTTTAGGAGTCCATCGTCCAAATCAGGCTGCCAACCATGGCCACGGCCCGCTCGTTTCAGCTCTCCTCAAGGAGAACGGTGTAGCTTACAAGTGTCATTACTTGACACCAAAATCACTTCTACCCGAGCAGAAGAGGCTCGGCGCTCGTGGAAACGGTACCATCGCATTTTGTCACAAGACGGACGAGTCCTAACGAGGACGCAGGGCCGTTTGACAGAGTTTAAATGCTGTTTGCTGACCACGGCAAGTCACGCCAGGTTGTGGCATTCGGGTATTACCACCACCAGCAGCAAGATGAAAAGAAAAGCGTACAACACCCTCACCAACAGCAAGGGAGCACAGCATTTGCCGTTACATCGCGATCTACTCCAAAAAAACAGGGGGGAATAACTTGAAAGAAATAGCTTGTACGAATTACAGCTTCTGCTGCCAAAAACTAGTGCTCAACCGTTGCTGTTGGCGGTGATCAGCCAGCAACAAGAGCCGCAACACCACCGAGCAGCGTGCCACCGCCAGCGATAGCTGTCGGACCGGGCTGGCGGCCCTAGAACGCCGCAGAGCAAAGCCAGAAAGCTCGGACTAGAAATAAAACCAATAAAATCCAACTAATTTAAGGTCTTTTGAATACTTCAGTCTGCTTCCCCCGTTACTTTAAATGAGATCCACTGATGGCAACGCATGACAGAAAGGCACTTTGAAAACACATTTTGGTAATTTATTAACTCTGTACATACAGTTATAGCTAGTCCTGTCCTCGGGAACGCGCGGGCACCCCGCTCCTCCCGCGCCCCTCCCCGGGGCAGCACCACCGGCAGGCAAAGCCCTGTCCCGCCTTCGGGAGCCTGAACGGCGGCCGTTCCATTCGACCTGAAAGACTCAGCAGCCAAAACGTAAGCTTGATTATTTTATTTAAAATTAAACATTTCTTTCTGTTCGGCTACTGCGTGTGGAGCCAAACATTGTGTCTGATCGTTGTTAGTGCCAGGAAAATGTCCTCCATGAAAACTGATCTGAAATTAGAGACTTTAACAGATACCAAAGCTGTCAGGGAAACGGTTCTCAGGTGTTGCTTCAGAACTGCGGGATTTGGGTTTATGCTGAAGATTTTTACCATTTTAAGCTCAAAGTTGTTCTTATCTGTGGTGAAGAGAGGTTTTATTGTTACTGGACAGAGTTATTGGTGGTGAAAAACAGCAACAATTTTGCTCAGCTGTAGTTGCACTGATTTCACTGGGTGTCAGGAGGTTCTGCTAAAAGCGAAATCTTTCATCTGTTAATCCAGACAGCACTGGGCAAGTCCCAAGTCAATATAAAACCAAAATTAAGCAAATCGGAGAAAGCTCCTTGGAAATGCATGGGTAGGAAAAACAAAATCTAGACCCTTCACTTGGGATTGTCGTTGTCTTGAAGAAGTGCCTTTAAAAACCAGAAGAACATCCCAGAACACTCTGAAGGCCCAAGGACCTCAGTCAACTGATTTCTGCCCTCAGATACTGGCTTCATCACTCCAAGTCAAATTTGCAGTTTCAGCCGCCACACGTGGTGCTTTTTCACATCAAATCACCGTAATTAACATTTGTAAAGTGCTTTGAGATAGTGCTATGAAAATACCAACAGCTAAAAGAAGGGCAGAACATCTATTATCAGCACCTGGCTGATTACTGCTTGGCTTTTTCCTCAGAGCAGCATCACTATATTCTCCTTTGGCTTCCTATTAACAAAGAGTAAGGTGCCAGTGTGGGCGACAGCACACGGGCAAAAGGAGTTTCTGCGGGGCAGGGAAGAAGGATGCCTTGGAAAACATGAAGGTGTCTTCTGGAAAGATGAATGAAGCGGAGCTGCAGAGAAGGATGGGTATTTACTTCCCAGCTAGCCCGGGAAAGCAGTGCCACGTGCAGATTCATGTGCACAAAACTACGCAGGAGGCTTCAGAGAGCATAAACGTTTGCCAAAGGAGAGAGGTGATGCTAATCTTAAAAAAAAAAAAAATAAAAAAAAAAAAATCAAGACATGGATGCTTTCTGGGGGGAGGACATAACTGCTCGCTGGAAGCTATTGCCTGAGGGCTGTTAACTACTTAGTAGTAAAATCCTGCTACCTTTCCAGTTGACAGTAACTTCTCTCTAGTTAGCAGCTTCACAAAAGCAATCCTTGTATGAATCCATAAAGCTTTCCCAGATTTTTAAAAGGTTAATTTTACCATTATAATTGCACTTTAGAAACAGGCATCAATCCCTACGCGCTCTCCCCAAACACCTCCTCGATTTATAACAGTGGAAAGAAAGGCTACAATTATTCACTGTCCTACAGCTACCGGGGTTTGAAAGGTTCGATTTAGGTGCCTGAAGAAAGGATGCAAACACCCAGTTTTCAGGTCAGGAAAAGTGTGCGTTTTGAAAAAAACAGCAGGCGTCACAGCTTGGCTTGCATCGGCTTCAGGTGTTTGTGGAAAGACTCATGCACCTGTAAGAGGAGAAGACAGTGGTTACAGCAAGGTCAGGCCTGAGCTTTAGAACAGTTTTAGCTCTTTACATCTTGCAGTGTGCTTTTATACCAAGGAAATCTGAATCAGAGGCACTTCGGGGATTTAAGAACAGCCAGCTAAGTCCTGTATTTGAGTGTCTATATGACACAGAGGATGAGAATATAAGCCACAAGAAACAGCTTCCCCACTACCTTTCTTGTGAGAAGAAAGAATGCAAGACACCTTCTATCCATACAGACAATTCTTTGGCATTTTCATTCGAAGAAAACTGGTAGAGGTCTCCTAAGGGGACCGTAATGAAGCTCCTAAGCCCCCCACTGACTTCAGAAGCACAAAAAAATTGAGCAAGTTCTGGTGGGATTTAACTACAACCACAGTCTCTGGCAGCCCATCGCAGGAGACAGTCTGTCCAAATCAAGTACAGGCAGTAAAGGCCAGCGCGACGGGATTTGGAGTCGTGTTTTGGCTGATGGAAGAGGGACACTGACTCTTCTCAGCTCCGTTTCTTTTATCAGCTCAGCTGTAGCTACAGCCTTAGGGCAGATGTGCAACACCTGACACTTAAGTACTACATGAGAGCAGTTTATTTTCTTCTCCAGTCACTACTACTGCCTGAAGGCACCGGAAGATTTGCCAGAAAACAGGCAAGGCTTTCACAGCCACTGTCACTAAGCAGAATTAACAGCAAGTGAAAATTTCTTTAAAATTCAACTGTTTCTCTAGGGAGAGTAGGATTTCCTTCCTCAACTGAGAAACTGAAATGTATCCCACAGGGACTCGCGTGAGGTACACGGGGGAGGGTAACTGAAGAAAGCACACTGAAAGCAGAGGAGCAGAAGTAGGTCGCTAGCTTTGGTCCATTACCACTACTGACTTGTCTCCCCAATTCATCAATTAAGTGCCGAGATCACTGGATCAAAATGGATACACATGACCTAAGGATGAAGAAATAAAGTTTCTTTACCTCTGTTTTGTTCAGTGGGGATTTCTTTGCCCACTCAAACATGTTCTCGTAGACATTGCCATCATACCGGCCAAGCACAGATCCAAGATGAACGTCATGAAAGTCAAAGGAGTCTACCAGCGCTACCGCGTTGGGACGAATTATAGCTAAGAGCTCTTTCACGCGCTGGTTCACTTGAGTAATTTGGGCATCGGTCAGAATACCCGCCTTGGAAAAAAAAAAGATTATCAGAAGAGTATGCAAGTCACAAGAACCTTCCCTTCCCTTCCCCTGTGGTCTAACATCGGTCAGCCTTCCCCCACACAAAAATGCAGCACTTCACAAAACACTAGTTTTTTTTTCCTAAGTGCTAAGTCATCAAACTGGCAATTTGCCATAGCATACAAGCAAAAGGAGATGCCTAGCGTAGCCCACCGTACTGCCTAGCTGTTTAATCTTTGATGGGAGACTCATTCTTTAGAATGCCTGGACGTTAACTTCAGTAGCAAGTTTTCTTGAGAATGTGCATATTAAATTCTTCCTGATTTCAGGGAACTTTTTGGAAAGCAGCAAAGAGGAAAATAGGAAAACAAAACATACCACATCTGCCTGAAGACAAAATAAAACACTGCTGCACAAATGCATTCTCAAAGTGAAAGAACGAAGAGAAGAAAAGTCATGCCTGACAATTTAAACCCATTCACTGAAGGATGGCTTAAAATTCGGAGAACAATATCTCCCTTTTGTGCACTCATTTACAAATGCATACCGCTCTCGGAGCACATCTAACGTACATCTCCTTTATTCGCTCCTTGGTTTTTAACATACAACACCTGGTCACAAACTGGAAAACATTTAAGCTAACCTAGACAGATGCCATGTTACCATTTATCACCCAACTCTGCTTCTGGCAGATCACAAGGGAAACTTGACAAGAGCCTTCTGTCAGACCTGCGCTGCTAACGGCCTTCTGGAAGTCAACAGTCAAGACCTTACGCCTAAGCATTCACGCCACTTTGCATTTAAAGCATCTTTGCTAACAATGACTCTGTCTCTAGAGATTTAAAGTGCTGGAGAAAGACACCAACCTGCAAGAAATCCCCTGTGTTCTTACTGATCCCGTACAGTGCATACAGGAGACACAGCTCAGTCATGACAGCACGGACAGCTGCATTACTGATCTCAGACAGCTTTGCTGTGAAAAGCTTCGCTATCACATAGTGACAGTGTGCCTACAAGAAAAGAAAGGAAGGTGAATCAGGTTCACGAAGAGATGAGAAGCTCTTATAGCATATTTCTTTATCAGGCACATCACTGACTTCGGATGCTCGCACAAGATCAACAGAAGTTCTGTTCCAGGCATCCTCCTTGCTCCTTCTGTGGTTCAGTTCAGCTTGCAAATTCTTTGCTGCAGCTTCTACGAGCCTATTTCATAAAAGGAACAAAAACAGGTTAGGCAATAACACCACATTAACAAGATTACGTACACTGAATTCCTATGAATTTCAGCCTAACGCATCAGAAGAACTCAGAGGTCACGTGCCACGACTGAATATATGCCTGGAGTGAGGGGCTCTAAACCCCCTGTCATCACTGCTGCAGCTAGAACACAGCTACAGAGGGGTAAGACGACATTTGACAGCACATACGTGGTGCTTGGATACCTACTCACCTGTTCTGCTCTCACACTTCCTTCACAATAGGCTTTAATAGCAGGATTGTTTCTCTCCAGATAGTTCTCTGAGCAGTTTGAACAATGTTGGTATTTATACGCTCGAATATACTTTACATTTAAATAAGAAAAAGATATTTCAAAATGGAAGGAAGCAGAGTAACAAGGCTATGTGTAGGCTGTAGGTAGCCTCTTGTAGCCTCAAAGCACTTCACACTGACCCGGCCTGGTAAAGTGTGTCGCTTCTTGAAAGCAACACAATGAGCAAAGCTTTGCAAACCACATCTTGAGACTCTAACATCACCAGGGCAGCGCATCACTACCATCTCCCAAGACACACAATTTTATTCGTGCTTGGCTCAGCCTAGTAAGTGTGAACTCACCGGGCAGCACGTGCTTTGTAGGCCTCTACCAAGCTGACTGGATCACTGATGGGCACAGTCGCAGTCCGAGCAGCCACATGCTGTGGCTGAATGCGTTGCCTGGAGAGATCGTTAAGGTAGGACACCATGCCAGTAACCCGCTGCCCAGAACTAACTTGGTTGTAGCTTTTGACAAGGAACCTGAAAATAGAGACAACAGAGCAACTCATAAGTAAGAGTTGTTTGAATGAAGAGAGGTTACCTTACCTAGGGTCAGACTAGCAAAGAACAGTTGTAAACTTATATTTTTCTGTCAAAATTAGGGCAAGGGACAGAAACACGAGAGACCAGGTTCATGGTAACACGGGATACTCTTCTGCTTATCACTTCAGCTACAAAGATTGCGATGCGAAGGCAAGAACGTCTCTGGACGGAAGCTACCATACCTAGCTGTCTGCAGCATCATGACTGTGTTTTCTCCCTCGTAGGTGCAGGATGGGGTGAACGTGACATAGATGTCAGGAAGGCGGCATTCCTCAATACCAGCACTGGCAGTCCAGGAAGTGAATGCCTTCAGCCCTGCGGTCAGCGCATGGAGCTGATGGACAAAAGCAAAGCCAGTTTAGATTTTTTTATTTTCCATTCTTAGCTTGCACACCTACGTGCTATGTACTGCAGCTCCCAGAAAAAAGCAGAGCCATCCTTCCAGTGTCCCGCAGGGTCTTGTTTTTCTTGTAAGGACTCTTTCCTGACCCAAAGTATTTATACAAAAGCCTCTACGCATGTAAAGATTTCTTTTGAGTACCCCATCCTTTCTGTCTCTATGCATTATGTCCAAGACTGTTTTCAATTGCCTATTGTCACATTAGGATCTCACACAGAATCGCTAACTGAAAACTGACATTTTACAACCCTAACCCCTCAGTACAATACTGATACCTTTGATCAACACACCAATTCTACCCCAGTGGCTTGGAAGAAAAATCAAGAAGCTACAGCACAAGCATAAGACCAGTCTTCACTCCCAAGTGATACGTCATCATTCCTGGGAAGTCACCTTTTTAAAAAATATATTCACAGTAGCTTTCGGATTGTGCATTACTCCCTATTTTTTGTAAAGGGTTGCTAAGTGAATAGTGCAAATAAAGAAATAAAAGTCACCAGCACATCCTCAGCTTGAGATCTCTGAATCTAAAGAATTACAAGATATCTCATGAGTGAAAGCCAAAAAGGCTTGATGCCTTTTCTCCCATGCTGTAAAGAAAACTTAGATAAAATCAACAGAGGACACAGTACCTCTGGCAGCTCACTCAGATTCCCTTCATTGATGTCACTACTAACACGACTATAGGTGTCTTTTATGTAGGCTCCCACAAAGTGAAAAGCATATGCTGTTGCCAGGAGAGGAAAGAGTTTGTATTGTTGGGTCTGATAATCCAGGATCTGGGGTTCGGGTTCCCTAGAGCAAAACACAGGCGAGTTAGTATGCCAGCGGCCAGCAAACTGCCATGAAGTCCTGTTCAACTCTAAGTAGCTTCTCCACCTCGACAGTACAGGCTGCATCCTTATCAAGCCAGGCTATCTAAGACCATACAGCAAAAGCCTCTGGCAAGGGGAAGGCACTTCCCAGGATGAAACAGCGCTTTGAAACAATCAAGTGCCAAAGCAAACAACATCAACCCAAGTCCCTCTTCCCTCCAGTATTCGGGAATTTTCCCTGAGCACGTAGGCTGCTCTTTTATTTCACTGCGCTTACCCTGGCTTTAGCTCAGACTGGTGTCTCACTGCGCTATAGCGGATGGCAATGGTACAAGCCCGGGACAGGGAGCGAGCTGCGTCGCCTACAATGAGAGATCGGATGAAGACCATGGTCCCGTAGGTTAGCTTGTCACTAAGTGGTTTCACGTAGGTACCATCTGGTTCAACCTACCAAAAAAAAAAAACCAACAGCCTGTTGATTTTTAAAGTTTCCCCCCTTTTACATGTTCACATCTCAAGCTCTAAACTCATCAAGTAGCACTTAGAAGCAATCTACAATCTTGTTGGTACACTATTCAACCACACAAGAGCATTTGAAGTGTCCATTTCTAACAGCATATGCTAAAAGTCACTGCTTTACCTGGGCATACTTCATCAGCATGTTTTCCCGAGGAATTCTGAAGTTGTCCATTTTCAGGTAGCCATTATCCATTTCATCGTAACCAAATTTTGGCCCAATGTCACCCACCGTAATACCTGCCACAGACAAAGCCGCTTGCATTAAGAAATAGGAACTAAACACCACGCGAGAGGTTCAAGCCTTCTCCAATAAAGAGTCTGTTTAGTTTTCTAGCAAGTCCTGGCATTGTTAGGAGTAACAGCTAAGGAGGACCTTGACCTCTTTGATGGAAAAGTGGACATCAAAACACGGGGATCTTCATAATTTACACGCAGTCCTACTGTCCAGTCACCGGGGGAGTCTCTGAAGATCATCCAGCTCACTTCTAGCTAGAGAATGATGAAAGGTATTCTTTCCCTTTCAGAAAGCAGGACATGCTGCCTCACAGAATGCAGAGCTGGGAAACACTGGGACAGAAACAAATCCCAAACTTTCACATTGAAAGTGTGACATGAAAGATGATTTAGTGGTAGTTTAGTCACAAGAAAGACTCCTTTAAGCCCTGTGACCTACCATCTACCCACTGAAATCAGAGAGCGAAACAAGCCGTGTACATTAACAAGACACATGCAGCTGTATACAGCTGGAGAGAAACAGACCTAACGTATTCCATGAGTCCTAGACCCTTAACGTTCATTTTTACCTGGCAAAGGTTCATGGGTGCCCAGCTGCCGTATGGGAACAATGAAGGCATGCAGCCCTTTGCACTGGCCCTGAGTGTAGAGCTGAGCCAGGACAATGGCATAGTTCGACGTCTTCCCAACTGCAACAGGAGCGGGAGTCAGAAGGGAAAAAAAGCAGCCAACATACTTATATACACAGCAGCTCTTTCCTTAAAGCAGGATCTGTGATTACCTTAACCACATCACGCGTTACAAAACCAGATTTACAACACTGGCTATCATCCGCGTTCTACAGCTAGACAAACCATGTTGCTCAAGTCAATGAAAGTTGCACAACACGACTCTCTTGCCTATACAATACCAAGTCCTTGGCAAACCTGCCAGTGGAGCTGAAGGAAATATAAAGATTTTGATACAACTGATCAAAAATTACACCAAATCCATACAGTGTGAATGACTAAGAAACAATTCCAAGCACACAGAAAATCCAAAGTTTTAGTAGGCTCTGATAAGTCTGTTACTTGTGCCGGAGTAACTGCCCTTCAGCCAACTCTTTGGATCAACTTCCAATCATCGTTCTGTAGATACAATACCCGTGACATCACCTCCCTAGGTTTTTTCCATACCTCTTCCAGATTTAGATACAGAGCGATGCACTTACGTCCACCTGGCCACCACTTAATGGAGGTCACAGTGGGGCTGTTGAGGATGAATTCCTGGGTAGCAGGGTCGTAAGTAGCTGTAGTTTCTAGACCCCGAAGATGAGTTCCTGAAAATAAGCAAACACATTGTTTGGGCAGAAAGTCAGTCACAAAACTGAGGCAAGGACAAAATTGGACAATGGAAAGTTGAACTCCAGTAGTAATATACAAATGTTAACTTTGCTTTTAGGCTATATAAAGGACGAAATATCAACCAATTAAGGAAGGACAAGTGAGAGTCAGACCATATTCTGGGACCTGAAGCCAATTCTCAGAAAACATGTTGGGTTTTTTTCGCAGTGGTCTAAGACTAGTTTTCCAAGCACCTCCAATCTGACACCTTCTTGCTATGACACACCAGAAGCCCCTTCTCATTTAAAAAGGTCCACAAAACCACGCTCACCTGGATTTCACTAAAACGGCAACCTGATTAAACTGCAAAATATCAATCCTATACTTTTCAGCCGTAAGATGAAATAACTAGTGCCCATCATCTCTTCATTCCCTCAGCAGGCCTACGCTCTCCCCCCCTAGGGCACTGATGCAGGTAGATGAAGAGACTGCAAAAAGATGAAGGTAACAATTCCAGGAACAGTCTTTGCCTTCTGCCCCCAACTCTTCACTTCACACACACCTGTCTCAGCAGTGGCATCGTCCCTGCCTGCGTTAAAAAAAAAAAATCACCGGGCCTACTTGCTTAAACTAGACAAGCTGTGAACGCTCCTGATAGTCTGGACTGGCAGAGCAAGACAGAGCCAGTGACTCTGCCAAGAGCTTCAACATGAAAAAGGATATCACCTTGATGCAACCACATTTCCAAAGCATGGAGGTAGTGGCAGACTTCCACAGGCAGCTTAACACAGGCTTACTTTGCCGGTAAAGGATCTTCAAACCTCACTAGTTGCAAGAGCTTCTCCACAGGCTTGCAGTTACTTTATGCTTCATACAGTCTCCACATTTCACTTCAGCACAAAGGTGCATCCTGCTCATTTTTAGAAAATAATTCTCACCTGCAACTCTCAGATGTCAAAATTAAAGTTTCCCAAGGCATAATATCCTCCCTTTGAAACTTGGATTGAACGTGTTCAATCACAATACTGCTGGAGTTATCAAAATCCATTTCAAAGCTTGAAAGCAAAGGAATAGCAACAAAGTCTACTTGAGACAGAGAATTAAAAAAAAAAAAAAAACGAACAAACATGTCATGGTCCAACTAAAAAGAACACATGGGAGCGAACTGGGGGAATAAAACTCCCCACAAAACACGAGCATTGGAACCAAGTCATCCACATGTTCTCTGATCCAAGGTCAGTCCCAAGGTGAGAAGCAACTCTTACTTTTTTTTTGGCATCTCTTTCAGTACCTTAAACCTCTGTCCTTTTGTCTTCACACTGAACGTTAAGTAGCGTGATCACACTGGAAAGAATGGTAAGTGTAGGAATGAACAGATGTCATCAAACTGACATCACCATAGCCATATGCAATCATCTGTACTGGTTTGAATGGCACAAGAGGAGCACTCAGTATGCTCGTATATAGAACTACAGACATCAAACTCTCCCATAGGGGAAAAAAAAGGGCAAGCAGCATGTGGCATAAGGATCTATCAAGAATTTCAGAGGCCGTCCACTTTTCCCTATAGCCACAATTGCTCGCGTCAGGACCGTGGGGTAACCACACACCATTTTTCCCAGGCAGGGGAATCCTTTGTACACAAAGCCATTCTTAGAAATAGCATTTAGTGAATGTACTGTACCATGGCCCATTTCAGTCTGGGCATAAGTGCCAATGATCTCCAGGTTCCAGGCAGGCATGAAGAAGCGATCCTGCTGCTCTGGGGTTGCCTGGGTGAGAAGGGTGGGAAGGAACATGCCCAGATGAAGGTCCAGAGGCTCAGGCCGTCCACGATGAACAAAGCTGTGAGGAAGTGTCATGGGATGGGCGTGTGAAGGGGATGTTATGGGAGGGAAGCAAGCATGAGGATTCATGGTGGAGATTCAGGAAGAGACAAAAAGAAAAAAAAAATGATTCATGTGTAAATCAGAATTCAGCAAGTGTAATTTAGAAAGCCAGAGCACTGTCCTTTTCTCAGGCCTGAATAATAAGAAATTACACTTATGTGAAATGAACGTGCTGCAATGCATTTCTTTCTAAACATACATAAAACGCATTTGCAACATTCCTGTATTTTTGATGCACCACGATTGGTAAAAAAAGGATTAATCCAAACTAAAAGAAAGACCAGACCTTTGCTACGGTTTGGAAACCAGAGCATCCTTAAGTTAAACAGGCTGAGTCAGAATGTCAGTGTGTTGAAGACGTGATCCGGCTGGATGAAGCGAGCCTTCACCCAAAGATATGAAGTCCACTTTTTTTTTTTTTCCATGGTTTGAGGGTAGAACCTGGTAGAAGTCCCAGTTTATCCAGCTGAATGAGCTAGGTTTTCACTGAACTTTCTTTTTTAAAAAAAGAAAGTCCTAACTGTATGTACTATCTACTTCCTATTTTTTTTATTAAAGATCAGACACAACTAGTGTATATTACATTCCAACTCAACTCTCTTCAACTTTTGCTATTTTTAAAAGCTCCCTTAAAAGGACAGTGCTCTGCATGTGTAAGTCAAAGTTGTGAACATAAACAACTAGGCAAGAAAGTCAATATTTTTCAACCTGTAAATCACCAGCACAAAGTCTCTCCAATTAAACATGTTTCATGAGAACTACTCTTCCTCCAAGTTCTGCCAAACACCACTGTTAGGTAGTTAAGTGGTCTATTAAGTTTTTCGATATAAAGAATTAAATGCTCATTAAATCTTTAAATATTGATAGCTTTGAGTATTAAAATAGTGAGGATATAGAGTGAGGATCAGTACCTTCTGTACAAAGGTTGTCCATCTGGCACGTTTACGTAGGAAATAATTCTTTAGCAGGAACATATATATTTAAATGAGATATGCATTATGGAAGGAGCACTGATCCGAGCTGAGCTCAAACTCAGCTGGCATTCTTATCAAAGTGGGAAGAACGCATACTTGTGTTACCTCTAAACACACATTAATATGAACTAGCTCTATCCCTAGAGCTTCCTAAGCCCTGTAGTTCTTTTCTTTGCTGTTCTCAGGCACCTACAAATAAATTCAACCACCTAATAAACCCAGTCGCAATGTTTTCTAAGGTTTTTGACTGAACAGTGACCAAGCTCAACAGGGGGCTAATGGCTTATCAGGAACACCAGATTTTAAGTGAGTTCAGTACTGGTGAGAAGTACACAGCTGACAGTCAAAGACTGAAAGAAAATCCTTATTTACTAGCAATAGCTATAAAGCAGGTAGAAACAGTACAGTATTTTCACTATGCCTTTTTTTTTTTTCCTTTTCAGCCCTGTGCTATTTGTGCTTTTTCTTTCTTTTATTTTTTCGAGAGACTTGTTCACTATGGAACAGGTTAAAATCAACACAGGCTATCAAGTCGGTGCTCACTAAGGTAAAACTCCGTAACTACCCATCCAGGCTAGGATTCAATGCAATAATCCAGAGGTCTGTTTTCCCATCACCAGTTTCTAAACATCAGGATTAAATTAAGCAGAGCTTAGTGACAATTACTGCAGAAGCTTTACTGATGAAGTAATTAGATACTCAACATTCACAGCAGGATTTTTGGGTTGCATTTTAATTATTCGGCATGGAAAGTATATTTACTTTACCATATTAGCACCATAATAGTTCTATTAAGCGTCAAAATACGAATTTTGCCATCAGACAACATGAGAACTATAAGCTAACCAGACCATCACTAGGCAAGAAAGTGCAATGATCTAATGTGAAATAGCAAGTAAAACAAATCACTTCAGCGTGGACGTGTGTCTGATTGAAAGAAGCTGGTGTGAAAAAGCAAACAAGGTCAGCAGGCATTTATTGTTGCCACCCGGTTGTCTCTCAGCTTCTGGTGTGAGCTAGGTTTGCTCACCCCATCTCTCCCAAGCAGAACGATGACAGGATTTCCTCCGCTGCATCTTCTACGCACGTTTTGGCTACCATGAGTAGCTGTAACTGAAGAGCCAGGCAACTGGCATTACAGTCTCACTTTTGCAATTGTCCAGACTTGTACCTGTCGTGCTTTCCAAGTTTAGATGCCAGCACAAGCACTGAAGTCTTTGGTTTGTTAAACTATTCTTCCTGGTACTTAACAGCCATAATTCCAGGTTCTGGGCTAAAAGACTCTTTTCTGATCCATTAAGTGTTCTTCCATTTGAAGAAGCAAAAGTCGTTTTCAACAATAGTAGGAATAAGATGTTTTTCTTCTTTGAAAGCAAGATCTTTCCATGAAGTTGTACAGCTGCAATGGAGTAGCATCTGGAAGAAAAGTGCTTGGGGCAAAGCATACCTTACTTTCAAAAACAAAAACGTGCAATCTCCCCCTGCTGCACTGCCTCTAAAGGTATACTTCTGACCTGTTTACGCAGGCTCATTATGAACTAAGAACCGAGACACACACATACCCCAAATTCAGGCAAAAATAAAAACCACAGTACTGTTGACAGACATGTTCCAACCAGTTCAAGTGGAATTCAGACTCCCAGGGCTCAGAACAACCTCCTCATCTCAAAACAAAGGTAAACAACTACGAAGTCAGTGATCAGCTAAGAGGTGCATTCTGGAAAAGACCAAAACTACCCCTGTGATTGCTGGGATGTGAAATGCAGCAGCTGTCTGGCTACAGGGCAGGAAACGTCAACGGTTAACCAAACCATTTTACCTTTCCCCTTTTAGATTTACCTAGGGAGCATCATCAATTTACAAACTGGAGTTACAAAAAAGAGGTTACCCATTGATCCCTGAAGGGAACTAACCATGTCCCATTTCGGTTTGGGCATAGGTGCCAATTATCTTGACTCCATGGACCAGAGGCAGCCATTTCTCCTTCTGAGCATCAGTCGTTTGGGTCTCTAAGGTTTTTCGAAACATGCTGAAGTGGAGACCGAAAGGTTCAGGAAAACTGCCCAAGCATGTTCTACAGGAGAGAAATAGAGGGATCTGGATCTCAGTCTTACTGTGATGCTGAAAGGCTTTTCTCCAACTGTAGCATAAGGTAAATAATCTCTTTGCCTATTTCAATCTTTTTTTGTCCCACAAGCAACCTCCAAATATGGAGGCATCAGAGGCAATGCTAATGGGAAAATAACTGTTTCTTTCAGGCATTTTATTCACCCTATGAATCCTGCTGTTGCTATGTAACTGGAAAAAATACTATTCTACAAAGATTCATGGGTAACTTAAAACTGAGGACATGAGAACCAAATTATTTTCTCCCCATCTCTCAGGCTCGGGGAGAATCAATCCCACTACTGCCAGGAGCCTAGAACTGGGCCATATTAGCTAGAAGCACTGTGTACTGAAAAGGAAAAGGCTTCTTAGGTGACCAAGTGCTTTTCAGAAGCGCTCCGTATTACCTGTAGCTGCTTCTATCAGCTGCGAGATCAGGAACTCACCTTCAATTAAAATTACTGTTACAGGCTAGTGCTGGAGGGAATGGAAGGAAAAACAGACATTTTAGATGTGCTTCATCAAAACAGTAGTTATTTCACGAGAGAAAGCTCTGTTGATTTAGCAGCCACAATGGCAGGCAAAGTACATTCCCAATCAAAACAAGCTCCGTAACACAAACATGCTAGAAAGTTTCACTGGGTAAAAGCTACGTCGTCAATGACAGCATCTTCCCTTCAACGTTCTGCAGTCTGAACAGTTTTTTCATCGTCCACCTATTGTACATGAATGCTTATCCCATCCAAATTCAAAGATGGAGGAACAAATGAGTGCTCCGCATGAATACCTACGCACAAGATCTCTCCCACCTGCCCCAGATACCTACAAGGAAAATATATCCTCCCATGTCGAGCGTGTTGGGTTTGTGTGGCAAGGTTTTGGTAGCGGGGGGGCTATAGCGGTGGCTTCTCCGAGAAGCTGCTAGAAGCTGCCCCTATGATAGAGCCAACACCAGCCGGCTCCAGGACGGACCCACCACTGGCCAAGGCTGAGCCCATCAGCGACGGTGGTAGTGCCTCTGGGATGACAGATTTAAGAAGGGGAAAAAGGTTTTGCGCAACAGCAATTGCAGCCAGAGAGAGGAGTGAGAATACGTGAGAGGAACAACCCTGCAGACACCGAGGTCAGTGCAGAAGGAGGGGGAGGAGGTGCTTCAGGCACCAGAGCAGATTCCCCTGCAGCCCGTGGGGAACACCATGGTGAGGCAGGCTGTGCCCTGCAGCCCATGGAGGTCCATGGTGGCAGGCTGTTCCTTAATGACGGCACCCAGGGAAGGGACCCACGCGGGAGCAGGGCGGGAAGAACGGCAGCCCGTGGGAAGGACCCACGTTGGACAAGCTGGTGGAGGGCTGTCTGCCATGGCAGGGACCCCACGCTGGAGCAGGGGCAGAGTGAGAGGAGGCCTCCCCTGGGGAGGAAGGAGCGGCAGAGACAGCGTGGGATGAACTGACCCCAACCCCCATTCCCCGTCCCCCTGCGCCGCTGGGGGGAGGAGGTAGAGAAATTGGGAGTGAAGTAGAGCCTGGGAAGCAGGGAGGGGTGGGGGGAAGGGGGTTTAAGATTTAGTTTTTATTTCTCATTATCCTACTCCAATTTGATCATAATAAATTAAATCAATTTCCCCCAGTCAAGTCTGTTTTGCCCGTGATGGTAATCGGTGAGTGATCTCTCCCTGTCCTTATCTCGACCCACGAGCCTTTCGTTCTATTTTCTCTCCCCTGTCCAGCTGAGGAGGGGGAGCGATAGAGCGGCTTTGGTGGGCACCCGGCATCCAGCCAGGGTCAACCCACTGCATCGAGGTATTAACACCTGCCCAGGGAGCACGTTGAAGTCTGTTGCCAACACAGATCCACACTGCGTAGTGGATGCTATGCATATAGTTTTTTAAATTACAGCAGCATTCCTGATTGGCATTTTATACCATGCCTGGAATGAGTGCCTGGGAGCAGAGTAAATAATTGATAATTCGAAACCAGATCCCTATGCGAACTGTGAAAATCAGCCTTAGGGTGAGAGAAAGCAGAACAAAGCTTCTTCAGCACCACCGAACTGCATGTTGAAGACGCTTATTTTAAATGGAACAGTTTTCAAATGGACAAGATTGAACGAGCCATGGATTCTTCCAGAAGCAAAACTATTGTCATCAAGTAACCTAACACTGGCGATTCAGGTATCGCTTGTGCTTTAAGCTGGTGTGAGTGCAGGTACAGTGTCCTGAGTTCTTGGGATCCAGGCAGCCAGTTCTCTTACCAGAAAATATTCTATTGCCTACAGCAGCACATATTTACAAAGCAGAAGTTATCAGGGTGACCAAGGGCTTAAAAATGCTACAAGGACAGGGAGACAGAATATTTTTCAGCATTCTTATAGCTTCCTACACGGATTCTGCTTTTACTCCAGGAGCCATACAGCAATAGCAGCACCCTTTACTTCCTCACTGCCTACAACACAATTACTGTGCATCTATTCCTCAGGCCCAAAAGGACAAACCTACAGGGAGAAAATGAGTGCTGACTTTGAAATACGCTGTTCCAGTGCAGCTTGCGAAGAGATTGAACAGTTCTTTGCGTATTTTCAGGAGCCATTGAATCTATGAAAAAGGTGCAGCACATGCTCTGCTGTTAGAAAAATCAGGTCAGACACTGCTGCTTTGAAGGTAATGCTCCAGAAAAAACATCTGCTTAAAGGTCGCACCAGCAACTCTCACTGCCTCTCACTAAGTTTAATTGCAAGTGCCAGATATTTCATGCTTAACTAGCACCTTCTCTGATAGGAGTAAGAACGACATTTTGCAAGCAGATAACACCCCCGTGTCAGAAGGTCATATTATTGCACTGCCGCATGTTAACAGCTTCTTGCACTAACAAAGCTGAAAGCAGAACTGAAAGCTAGCTGATTTACAGCAGGAACTTTCCATCTCTGCACACTCCACACTGAATGAGCAGGATTTTCTTAACATGCCTTTTAACAGCTTGAATGACAAGGAGAGAGAATCCGATTTTCCTCGTGACACAGGGCAAACAGAAGAGGTACTAGCTGTGAAGGGAGGAAGAACAGGTTTTTCTTTCCTTCTTTTTCCTTCTCCAAACTCCGACTCCTTCCTCTCCCAATTTGTACTTTCCCACTTGGCATTTCCCGCTACCTACACAGCTTCTCGTTCTCCAGCGGCTGCACTGTGTAACTGTTCAAGCACTTTGCTACACCAAGACTGAACGCGGCCACCTGCATCTAGCACTAGCAATTTGATCAGTGACCAAAGATCACCTCGTTACTCTCAAGTCAGATTCGCTACGACAATCAGTGAGGCAAGAGGAGGGCTGCAGTTCCAAATCCACTTACAGGAGAAGGATGTGTAGTAATATGCTACTTTGGCAATATAGATCTTTCCAGATTTCACTGCAACCAGCGCCACCCATGTAGCAAAAGGCACCTGTATTTGAGGGATGAATTTGATCGCACATCTATCAGTGAACGGAGTACAAAGGAAGCAAAGTCTACGTTTTCAGAGACTCCAAAGCTAAATGAATAACTGCAAAGACATTCTCAGGCTGCAGAACTGGGTCACAGAATAGGGTCGTTTACTTTAAAGCACAATCCGCAAGTAAACTTTTCTAGATTTTTGCAGTTCTTGAGGTGACTCTCAAGGAAGAGCATGAAGGATCGCCTCAGCGGGGGAACCAGGGGTGTATCTCTGCTCACTGGGCTCCAGAGTTAACAAATGCTATGGTAATAAACTCCTTTTCTAGCTGTATCAAAAAACCCAAGTCAGACTCATCCACTCCAAATTAATTTAGCAGCAGCTAGTAGGGCCTCTACTACAGTTTTTCTGGTTTGATTTGCTGAAAGCTACTCCAGGTCCTCACTTTAGTGTCAAAATGAGAAGCAGGGACAAATTCTCACAGGGAAAGCGCACGCTCATGCAATGCTTATGAACACAGGAATCATCTGTTGAGCTGCAGCTCTCGGATCTCCTCTTCTTCTCCCAACTGTTTTTCACCTCTTCATTTAATCTCATTTTCCTCGATGAAGGTTATTTAAATTTGAAGGTGAATTAAAACTGACCAGATTGCTCTCTTCAAAGAGCTGTGTAGCATTACACATAAAAAATTTCCCATTTTTCATGCTGACTTACACTTTGCTGCAGTCAGACTGTAAAAGAAATCTGAAATATTGGCACTTTAAGGCTGCTGGCCTTCATAAGCTGTAGTCACAGCAGCAACCGCAGTGCTGACACATGTGAAGACACAGGAAGAACTGACTAGATGAGAAGCAATTAAAATGGCTTCTAAATATATTTAATAGATTCTCTTATGTTTCGGAGTCCACAAAGCCCTTGCAGAAACAGGAAGGAGGAGCATTCAGTTTGACAAGTCACAGCCGCAGCAACTGTTTAAGCGTACCTCCAGGGCAGCTGAAGGAAGAAGCATTTCTCCTCGCCTATTCATGAATCAAGCTACAAAGTTGGTCAGTCATGATGCAGAGCTACCTAGTGAAGTTCTGGGAGCTACAGCAAAACGACTAGCTCAAAATTCTCAAAAATTGCATATGTAAATAAATCTCTTCCTCCTGTTTGGGGATAATCACAAGGCATGAGGGATTACTGGCAAAATATCTTAAGCTTCCATATGTAAAAATCTGATGGTCAATCACAATAAATGCAACTTGTCATCTGAATCGAGGTCTTCTACTTCATAAGCTTCATTCAAGGCATGTCACAACACCATATCCGTTCAATTTTCCAGTTTGCAAAAAACAAATAAACCCAAACACGGTTTCTCCAGGTCAGCTTTTACACAAATGAAGTCCCTTCTAGTTAGCACCAATCAGCATGTTTGGGTATGTGACAGAAATAAACTTAACTCTGCAAGTTGGGTGGAGTTCACCAAGGTTAAAAAGTGGTTGACACTCAGCAGGTGAGAAAGTGGGGACAGATGTTAAAATGCAAATGAAATCAAAGGATGAAAAAGTAATCCTTACATTTCTTCCATTCATTAAGAAGCAGTAAGCCAATATCCTCCCTTGCAAACACCAGGCATCATAGTAAAGAACTCAAATCAAGCATATTAACAGTATACGGTTCTTGGAGCAAACAAACTTCACTTGCAGGTAAGAAGTATATGTACTGCTCTTCATTCTTCTACATGTTATTACGAAGACACTGGAAAATACAGTCAGCCTACAGTAATTGCAATTATCTTTTGAAATCCTGAATGTCTGCAATTAGAATTGACTCGGAAAAAAAGTATGCCTTCCTCGTTGTTTCAGTTGATTTTGCATCATGAATTCTGACTAGTCACACCTGCCTATTCATATCACATAAGATATAGATGTATTTTTGGTACCTATATGAAATATTAAGCTTTCACCCATTTGAAGTTAAGAATTGGTGACTCCCAAAGGAAAGCCAAAACTAGAATCTATCGTTTGACTACTACAGAGAAGTCCTGTTTTCATAAAATGTTGTCAGTAATGCTACCAAAAGACAGCATTTACATCGTTGAAGTCTGCCAGCTGGTATGCTGGATAGACTTCTCTGAATTTTCTCCATAAAAATAATTGAAGAAACTTCCCTATTGCCTCCAATAATCCTTGTGTAGGAAAAATTAATGATTAACTTTTGCCATGCAGTACCTGAATCATCTAACACAGTCACTGAACTTTTTTCTTGTCATCATTGTCCACCGATGCCAATTTTCAAAAGAACATTTTACATCACTTCCATGAGAACTTCCGTGACACAGGTCAGCGTAAACCAATTTCTTTGAAATTAAAACTACAGCAGACAAGATGATTTCAACTAACTGGTCCCAATATTCATGCCCTGAGGCCAATGACAGCTTGCCTACAAATCCAGTCAGAGGGGGCCCGTGATTCTACCTGTGCATTATTTAACGTGCAAAGTTCATTTAATGTGCCAGAGGATATATTCATGGTATTAAGTCCAGATTTCTAGAGCTGTGCAATCTCTCTGTTGAGCAGTTTCCGTCTGATTTTATCAGAATGCGTTTAATAGAACTAAGGGGAGAAATATGTCAAAATCAGAACCAAGCTCCCTGCAAGCTGGAAGGAATGAAATTCAGATGTAAAGATAGTTTTAGTGCTATTAACTTAATCCAAGGGTAAAACTATCAGATAAACAAAAGGTCAGATACAACAAAAAGCCTCTAGGTCAAAGGGAACCACTACAGCACCAGGAGCTTGGAGTAGGAGACAGGACAGAGAGTTATAAACAAGAACTTAGAAGCTTCTTGGAACATTTTCAAGTATGCCTGTAATGCAACTTTAATAGGTCTAAGTGCAAAGCAAATTAATCAGCTTTAAGAGATTTCATTAGAAGCTGCGACCTCATAAGATCTATTCAGATTCAAAATACTTCAGTATATTTTTTTATTCCTTTTGGAAAAAAAACAAATCAGACTACAAGTCCCATTTTTTACTTTCTGCACCACATAAAGGCATAATTTAATATAAATTACAAATACACCGCATAAAAAGGGTGCAATTATTAATGGTGCATTTCTAGTCAAAAATCTCAGAAAACACAATCTCTGGGAAATCAGGGTTTCATCTGAAATTCACTGAAGCCAAGACTTGATTGGGCTTTTATACAGGTCTTTAGCTTCCTTTGGACAGCAAACATAGGAAAAAAGCACAACTCTGATGTCCTTGGTGATGATCAAAGCACATACAAGAAGCAAACTCTACAGCTAGGTACCTTTTAAACCAGTAGATCTCCTCCGGATCTGCAATTCCATATTCTCTTAACTTCATCACCATCAGAGCGCTCTTCCTGACGGCTTGCTCATAGCGTTGGCTACGGGACAGGAAGTTCAAATCCTCGTGCTGGAAGTCAGGGTCATTAAAAACTAAGGCCTCTGGGGACAGAGCAGAAGAGGAAAACAAACTCAGTTTCCACACAGCTCAACAGACAGTGGGTGAGAAACGATTCAGTATCTCACTTGCTGTACCTCAAGGTAGAGATATCAGAAAATTAAAAATAAAATTAGAAGTTAATGAAATCAGAAAGAAGTCAAAGCTCTTGGAGAGAGGGACTCTAGCAACAGGGCACTCTCCCATTCCACGCATAAACCACATTTTAAGTTAGGAGCACTCTGGACTTGGCAGGAGGTTAATGCACTGATGTAAGACCTGCAGGCCCCTCAATAACGATCTCAAATGCCATCATTACTGCCTCGTGAACTTTGATCCCCATACGGCTCCTTGCAGAAGGGCACAGCTGTTATTCCCACTATGCTGACTGGAAACCAAGGTACCCAGAGGCCGCTGACTCCCTGCGTCCCCTTTGGCACACAAGTTACACAACACCAGTCCGGCAGTCCCACCCCAGCACGGGCTGGGAAAAGAAAAGAGGATGGAAAGATTTCATTAATCTCGCGTATCCTGGTAGTGGTGGCTGAGAAACAGGTCGTTTGTACTCTTGGGCAAGAACATACTGGGAAGGAAAAAGGAGGGGAGAGGGCCCAAGAGAAATGCCCATGGGAGGCTGCCTCTCACTCTCTGGAGGAAGGGGAAAGACAGAGGTGAAAGGACACTGCTCTATCAGGGTCCCCCAAATCCTTTCTGGGAAGGGGACCAGGGACACAACACTGCTCCTGCTCCCCTCTAACCCATTAGACAAAAATCCCTGCCTTCAGACGGCCCCCTCACAGCATTCCCCGCTCCCTGGGGCCTCCCCTTCCCCAAAAGCTCCACCCCACGCCCTCCTTCCCTCCCCACGCCCTCCTTTCC